GTGGGAAGGTTTTAATTTTTCTTAAGACACTCGAATATCTCGAAATCAAATTTTGCAAAAGTTGCAAATACTCCCGAGAACAGCGAAAGTAATTAACATTACAGTTTTCGAATTTTAACGTTGTAGAAAATTTCTACGAAATGCCGAGTGAATTTCGTGCCTTCAAGGTGTACGTTTGTTTTTGACTCTCACAATCAGCGTAGCACGCCAATGTTTTATAAATAATCGGTCAGTAGTTAAAATTGGCCTCGTTGATAATAGCAAAGTTGTGTATGCACAGGCTGTAAAATCCGATTGAGAGCAACAGTTTGACAGGAAACGACACGGTCGCGGTGCCAACCAGTTTCGAGTTATTATCGCGGCATATAGCCTGCCCCCGTAACCAGACAGATTTAAATAATTGCTGCGTGTATAATGAAACTGTTAATCGATTGTGAAAAACTGTCGACGAAGAGGTCTGTTTTCTACACACCTTTCTCTCTCTCTCTCTCTCTCTCTCTACGAACGTTTAACAAAATCTCTTCTACGTACTCGAGAATATGTAAAACAGCGAACAACGTGAATCACACAGCCGTCTCTCTTCGTGACGCGAAACGTTGAAGATGGAATTTCGAGAGTAAACAGAATCACGCAGGCATCCTTGGACGTCGATTCGCTATTTCATCGTGCGTTTTTCTCGAGAAATGCAATTATCGCGTCTCGATAAATTCTCTACTCTACCTCTAGGATAGAAAGATAGCTACCAAAGAGAGCGATGATATTTTCGAAATAAATAATTCATACATCAAAATGTGCACAAGAGTTCAGCTATCTTTGACAAAATGTTTATTAACAATAAAATAACATGGACGTTTGCGCCTTGACTCGATTAATATTTCGATGCTGTTTTGCATCATCTGCGACGCGAATGAGACGTTCTCGCGAAATTCACGTGAATTGGACCGCGCGATGCGAGCCTCGCGTAAATTCTTCTCCGTCTTGAAATGCTGGTAAACAAAAGCGCGCGTTAATCGCGCGATGTAATTCAGGGACGTTGAGAACTGCCTAGGCGTTCTGGCCGTGTGACTCATAGTTAACCGCATCGGGCATCGATATCAACTTTTGCGTCTCGATAGCGAGAACGGTTCTACGCCGTGGACGAAAACCTTCGGCATTCGGCCGATCTCCGGTAAAAACGTCTTTGCGTTATTTATTCACGTTATAATTTCCAACTTGAATCTTTGAACGAAACCGTTGTATCTAATTTAATTCAATGATGCAACGTGCGTGCTTTTTCCAAATCTGATCTTTCGGGAACGACCATTCGACTTTTTATTAATTTCTCGAATCTTCAAGTCTTGAAACCTTTGGAACTTTGGATCTCTGAGTCTTTGAATTAATAGCATTCTGTATCTATTAGATATAGAATCATGTCTCTTTCGATCCATTTTCTCGCAGATCTGATCGTCGTGAAGGATCATTTAATTTCCCCGTTAAAATCTCAAATAAAATCTTTGTGTCGTCTGTCGTATGTAACAGTAACTTTTCAAACTAACAATAAATCTTCTGGAGCCTCCGAAACTTTGGATCTTTGAGTCTTTGAATTTAATGAGACTCGCTTTAGCGAATCGAGAGGTTCAAGAGAGGTCGTTTCAACTACCATAAAGAATTTAGATCGACAATTCAGAGAATTCACGATCTATCGACGATTTATCGAAGGATGCATCATCCCTGTTCAGCCAGACCGCCAGCATTATCGATGAACTTTATTCCCAATGGAGAATATTCCCGACGCGGCGCTACGGTGAATCATGGCGGATCGCGTACTACCAACCAGACTATTACACTATCTCGCGTCTGTTTACCATTTGATTCACACCGGGGCGAAATCTTGCCCGATCGCGATCAAATCGAGGTGGAATGCGCGCAATAAACGTGCTGATTAATCCGTGGTTAAAAATTCACGGAGAACGTATTTCGCGTGTAGTCGGCTGTCATCGGTTGCTATTTTCTCGATTTGCATACGTACGTATGTATGTATGTGTGTCGCGGCTCTCTGTCGATGCCTCGCGCGATACCATTGTACGATTGTTCCGTTTCAAATTGATCCCGATTCAAAACGAAATGATAAAAAGTCTTAACAATCTTTCGTACGATCTAGCCGTATCTTAATTCAGATCGGGTGAGGTCAGTGGTACACAAAGAAGACAAAGGCGTTCGCCGTTGATGCAAGGAATTGTGGTCAATATAGATCAAGAAGCGTCGTCACTCGATGACTCACCTAATATAGTTTCGAGTAGATCTCTCTTGAAGGTCGTGTATCTATCCATTAAGAAAAAAAAAACGAAAAAAAAAAGGAAGAAAATAGAAATCCCAAAGATAGAACAAGCACAAGCACACGAACTTTCAGTCGAGGGATCAAAGACGATCCTTCCCAGATCGGATTGTGCGGGTTCGCCTCCGCCCGTCCTCGTAAAGTCTCATCATCGAGACGCGTCACTCTAACGCCTCCAAGATCTACGCTGTAGCTGTTTAAAATCATAGATCACGTACAAAGTCCCCACCCTGGTCATCCGCCGCATTTTTCCCCGGAGGATGATCCATTTGTGACTAATTCGATTGTCACGGTCGAGTCGGACTGAAGTCGAGCTAATTCCCTGGACGAAGGCGACGACGTGATCTCGCTTTGTTCGCCGGGATATTTGGTCGTCACCGGGCAATGACATCACACTGTGAAATTAGAGGCGAGCACCTGCCTGAACAGGATGACTCTCGCCGGTTGCACTCTCCAGTGGAAATCACCGGCCGCGATGACAATCGTTACTCCGTTTATGGCGTTTCGCTGTAAACGTTAGTCATTGGCCTTGGAGGGATTTCCATCTCGCGTGTACAATTGAATCACTCGCAAGACGTTCCAGGATCGATGGCCTCGCGGCTTTTCGATTAAAAGTGTTGCGACGAGTCAGCCTGGAGTTCGGAATTTTTTGGATGTCTTTGCGGTGGTTGGTGGTTTCCAAGAAGAATGATGACTTCGAGCGCGGTGGTATTATTCCTAAACTGTGAGCGCGACGTGTCGTTTCACTTTACATCGAATATTTCCATTTTGGTGTTTCGAAGAAAACGACCGTTTATCCAACGAACATCGAATCATGCAAGACACAATAAGCAAATTGCATTTGGAAGATTGATTGAACAGAAACATCGTTTCAAGTTTAAAATTTCCCCACGTTTCCCTGGAAGAATGTTTAACAATAGTGTAATAATAACACCTTATCGAATGAAATTACGCTTGCAATACCAAGAAATCGTTACGTGTGCATCGAATACTTCCACGTAATATGACTGCAGCGATTTGACCATCTCAATAAATCAACCGCCTTGTGATAATTGCTCTTGAAAGGATTTCCCAAATTTAGACGATGGTGCCATCGTTCCGAGAAACAGGAAAAACCTGTTGCTTATCTAGCGTATCGATAAGAAAACCGCAGAGAAAGAACAGAGGAAATGGTCGGGATCTCGATCCATATGCAAATGTTCTTCCTTTTCGAATAATATTTTTTTCGTTTGCGGCAATTAGTACGCATCGAATCACAATGATTACGATATTCAGAATTTCTCAAAAATTTGATGTTCTGAGAAAGGAATATCCACTCTGTACTTTCTTGTCGTTTTATTCCTTTAAGAATGCAAATGCGTAGTTCTCGCTTTACGAACGACAGCGACCGGTTTCTAATTGAAATAATATTAAATCTAGTTTCTGACACTCCCTGAGTGATTTTCCTTTTGCTTTTCTCGAGCAGCCTGTTAACGTAGCAACGACACGTGGGCGATCGCTGCACACAAACGCGGAAGATCGATGCTCGATAGCGTATTTATAATACCGTTCACCGGCGCTTTTTGGCGCGGTTCGATCACGATCGGCCGGAGCAAGTGAATTTCACAAGTGCATACTAAACAAGGGAGCACGATAAGTGATAAAATTAGACGGGGCTTTGCTTTTGCTGGGGCGAAAATTGCGTAAGAGTGTTCCGCCGAGTAGTGTGTACCGGCGAGTGCAGATCCCGTGAATCATTGTATTCGAAAGACGCATTATGCCTCGAATTTATTTTTGCCTCCGCGGCAAAAGTCAACCTTTGATCTTTTTGTTTGTGGGACTCTCGTAGAGGTGTTGTTCGACTTTCTTCAACCGTCCAATATTCGCTGTCTCGTGGCGTTTCCTATAAATAACCCACTCCGGGACACACGAGTTACCGATTTGATTTTCATAACCCGTGTCTCACGTGGTGTGTTCCGATCATAGGCCGAGAGCGGGGAAAGAGCATACGGAGGGGAAGTTCACGTTTCTTTATCCTTTTGTATCGTGAAAAGAAACGAGGAGGGCGAATTGTAAAGGCAAATACGATCGGAATCGTCGCGTCCGATCTTGACGAGAGCCCCGTGAAAATTCAATTCTATTCAATTTTATTCAAATCGGGCCTTACTCTTGAATTACATCGTTCCGAAATATACCGGGAGTAGAGACGCTGTGTGTGTTACGTTACGACCCGACGATCGCCACCGCCAGGTGGGACCAACGGGATATACACCCTTAAGGAGAGAACCTTGCCCATCTGCTTCGACTTTCCTCCAACATCCCTCCACTTCCTCCCGGTGAAACGGAGCAGCGGAGCAATTAATTTCTCAATTAAGTCGCGTTACGTTATACATCGGGAGTTCGCGAAGTCGCGCGACAAGGTCGTCATAGGACGCCGCGCGGAGTTGCGTGCCGCTACGGCGACGAAATGTGCACGAAAGCCCCGCGAGAAACTAGGAAGAACAGCGGAGAAGGACAGGGCGATACGTTTTGCCGCGTGCTGGACAAGGACGGCCGTACGATACACAGACGGCGGCTCGTGCTCGACTACGTTCGTGTGCCTTCGTCCACGGATCGCGTACGTCACGAAGCGGCCGGCCAATCAGCGCCGAGCCGGATGACTCATCCAGTCGAGCCTCATGTAAACTCTCTCGTGCCGCTTAACCAGCAGTCTCCCGCCAACAAGCAAAAGGGCAAGCGCCGCTTTTGCCACGTATCTGTCTGTATCCCTGTTCCATCGTGGAACATCGTCAAACACGCTTTCGTCGCGGTGTCGCGCTATATCCAACCGGGGAAAAAAAAAGAAAAGAGAGTTCAGATCGTCGAAGCTCCTCTGTGTACTCGATCCGGTTGACCCGGTTGATTGGCAAGAACGAGAGGGCCGCCGTCTATCTTTCTCTCTCGTGCGCGCGATCCTCGTTTTGCGTAACACAGGCCGAAAAAATTCTCGTCGAGAGTGATCGACACACACACCAGTTGGGGGAGGGGAGAGGAGGACTCCTCGTTCGTCTTTCTTGTCGAACAGTCGCGCGTGTGTCAAATGGTGAGGTGAGAGCCACCCTAGAGAATCGTGGAGGGAATCTCGCATAACTCGAACATGAGAATGAAGAAGGAAGCGCCGTGTCTCGTGCTGAGGCTGGTCCCTCTGGAGAACCTCGAACCATGGGGTAAAAGTCTCTCTTTTTCCTTTTTTTTTTGTATTTTGCCAACTCTCTCTGTTGTTTTCGTTTGATGTGAGTCATTCGCGAGCTTCCCTCGAATCTCGGCCTCCGAGAGGCTGGAGGGTATTCTCGTTAGCTGGACCGTTCCGTCGATTGACTCGTTTGCTGTTATTTAACCAGTCTTAACGAATCTGACTCGTCTGGTTTATTCCGTTCCTGTTTGAACCATTTCGGTTCGATCGACAGAAGTAACTGTTTCGCGCGCGGTCGATCTCGAAAGATCTCTGGTACTTTTTTATTTATGAGTGACTTTCGAGAATTCCTCCGGCAAAGAGAGAGGAAATAAATATGTAGCGAGTCGGTGCACTGTTTCTTTGTTTCAAGACCGACAGCATCCAATTTGTTACCCAAATCTTTGAGAGACGAAAACAAGCGAGGTGTGCTGATTCGATCGTTTCTTTAACGAAAGACAACGGGCGTTCGCGCTTTACTAGTTATCCGTGTTCCATTTAGGCGTTTAATTCCCCAACGTCGTTCGACCGCCTATGGTCAAAGGTATTTCTGAGACGTTCGCAACGGCGGGAGAATACAAAGTCGAACGTGGCACGCTGGTAAATACAATCTCCGACACGGGATGACTCAGTCCTTGGTATCTTAGATTTAGGCGTAATGCGTGCTCGATGACTCGTTTCGTGTTAATCTCCCGTGCGGTGGAAATTACAGATTCCACCGAGGCGTCGTACCGAAACGATTCCTCGTGTTTGTAAATCGAACGCGTGCTTCCACGTTAAATCACGCCGTAGATAAACATTTTCGTGTCGTAACAGAATTCTTTCGGGCCATCCGAGTCGATAACACCGCCTCTCACGAATTCCACAGGAGGACGTTTCTCTCATTTGTTAACTATTAACGTATCGAAATTTTCTGTGATTCACGAACAGTGCAAAATTTCGCAAAACTGAAATTTTAGATTGAGGATCAAATCTATGTATTTTCATTATATAAGATGAGATATGGTTCGGCGTGTTTGATACCGTTGCAAAATTTCGTTTCGTTTTGCAGCGTACGAATCATATAAGATAGTGTAGGAGACACAGTACATAATGATAAAAAGAAAAAGAAGAGAGAAACTCAAGTTCGCAGTGAATCGATTACACCGTTGAATTCAAACGACGAGAGAGGAAAGTAGGATGTAAGAAAAGATCAGAGTATCCCATAGAATGTACATGGTGGACGGCGAAGTGCACGGCATCGTTGAGGTGGAATGTGGGTCACTTCATTTAGGTCATTATAACAATCAACTTGTACTTTGAAGTTCATTGCTCCCGTTTCGCAGGTGCCACAAAAATATCAAGTAGTCCCCCTTTATTAATATTTTTACCGTCGCTGTTATCTTTTTAATAATTTGTCAAAAAAAGTCATATCGATTTCTTCGTCTATTCACATTTCCTTGATTACAATTTGTTTAAAATCATCGCTTTATTCTGTAAAATATTAAATAAAACCTGTAAGATTGATCAGAAGCAGATACGTGCTTTCATCTGTGCTCAGAAATACATTCGAATTAAAGTCACTTCTGTTTGTCAAATTCAAATTGGAACTACTTCCATCATTTTTTGAATCTAGTTTCGAACGGTGCAAAATTGACAAACGCGACAGAAAAAAAATCATTTCCAGAAACATTTTCAGAAACACACCATTTTTTACTATTTTTTTTAATAATTTATAATAAGCTAATATAATAACATAATATAATAATAAATTATATAATATAATAATAATATAATAATTTATAATAGACAATTAGACACCAGGTCATTTAACGAAACAATTAACTATGCCCTGAACTAAAACGAGAAACTTCAGCGCGTTTTGTTAGATCCGCGCCGTACGCCAGCCGCGATTGGAAATCAGGCCAGTGCCCTACGAAGAAACACGCGTACCCCTTTTCCTTAATAATTGCAACCTATTAAGCGTGATTACCGTTTGCTGTTTAGGAGCACGCGGTCCTGTCGTATATTGAATATCGCGATGTGTGAGAAAAATACGAACCCCGTGACATCACGCGCTGTACCGTGGCCGTATGTTTTCGCCATATATGTAACGCGACCCGGTTGCGTATAGATCGTGAACTGCTCAAAGTTGCAGTTTTCTTTTGAGAACGAGTCCATCCTCGAGGCGTGTAGGATGTCTCCGGCGGGTATCAATAGGAGGCGGCGGCGGAGTTATGCCACTTTGTTAGGTGCAAAGTGGTTCGTGTAACGAGTTTCGCCGCGTTTGTTGTGCAGCGGTGTATATATAGAGCCGAAAAACCGTTACTGGCGCGCAGTTTCGAATCATCTTGGGGGGGGGGGGGGGGAGATAATCGTTGAAAAGTCGCAACGATAAAACGACGCTGTTTTCCGCTCGTAAATCGACATGTGTTGTACACGCGTTATATACGTTGTCGATGCGTATTCGCCGGAGCGCGTCCGCCGCTGTATTTACGATTTCCGGCAGACTCGAGACTAGGTCGCGGAATAGCATTGCGTTCGCTTGGACGCCAAACGCGCGTTTGCATCGTGTATCGTACGTGGATCATCGTCGGATCTCGAAATGTTTGCAAATTGGCGAATATCTCTTCCGTGCAAAGTAATAAAAAAAAAAAAAAAAAAACAGAGAATTACGAGATTAACGAGAGAGATTGAATTAAATCCGGAAGCGGGGTAGGTCTACCCTCCCCCTTTCGAGAAGGAAGTTTCGACCGCGGAGTAATCGTCGGACCGCGACAACAGTAGCCGCCACACGGGGTTGGCGGCGGTCGTGGCTACGGCGGCGCGACGCCGGGGGGCGAAACGAGAGTGACTCATCGTTGAGCCAGGCCTTACGAACTGCAGGTCAGGAGAGGAAGACGCTTTTAGCCCACATTTCTTCCTTGTCCCCCTTCGCATGTTCCTACGGCTGGTGTTCCTTTATTTTTACCCCGACCGTTTATTCGTGGTTCCTCCCTTTCTGTCTCGCTTCCTCCCTGCTCCGCTCTCCGTCCGATCCGCTTTTCCGGACACGCGTCGCTCATCAGGATATTATTTCGCACTATCTTCACGGTTTCCTACGAGCGATTGACGAATGATAAACACAAGGTATTTGGAAGAAGATTCGACAGGAATTTCATAATTTCCGGGTGTTGTTGGGTGTTGAGAGTTGTTTCTTTTGCACCCCGATGCTTCCCTCGAGTCGGCGTTTCTTAAGACCGGAAGACTTTCAAGATCGAAGATTCATAATGCAGCCTCGATAAGGCTTCGACAACCACACGAACCGCGCCAGATTAGGAGACGGTAGATTCTTCCGCGGGCTTTTAAAAATGTGGTAAATTCATCGAGAAATATCCAGCGATGTTTTCTCATTGTTAACAAACCCGGCAAACCCGGGCGCAGGTTCAGATACAACACACGCGGAAGTGCAGGCGAACCAACCACGAGGAACGGTTTCTCGAGAAATCGCTGTGTACACAATTCCGGGATTCCACTGAATCACTGCGTTGTGCTGACGTACGAAAAAGAAAAGAAAACGCGGCTGGAGGACACGAAACACCTCCGATGTATGTCTCTCTCGATTCTATTTCTGGTGCCGTAAAACATCGGAAACATAATGAAAACATCGATATCGTATCTCGGAGTTCTTTTAGATTCCTAAGAAAATCTAGAACGCATACTCGAATATAGGTATAATTTGGAATGCGGAAAAAAATATGTTTTCGCCTCGACAAAGGGGGTTGAACATCCCCCGTTGAACATCGTCAAGCTACGAAAATCACAGGATCGAGCGAGCACCATCTGTTCCTGTTTTCTCTATCGGTATTTTCAAAGTAACTCGACGCTCCTTCCCCCGGGACCAGTTTCCCACGCCCCTCGGTGTCTCGTTAGGCTTCCAGCCAGCTCGAAAAAAAAAAAAAAAAAAAAAAAAAAAAGAAAAGAAGAAGAAGTACTAACGGATCCCTTCCGATTACTTTCAGGTGGACACAAGGAGTTTCATAGGCGGCACAGGGATCTCTGCGAGGACACGCTTCTCCCAACAGTCGCAGCTGGCCCATCCACGGTCGCTGGTTGTTCCAGTCCAGGGCCAGGTTGTCCGGTGTTGAGTCTGTCTGGGCCACCGACCCCCCAACCCGCGGACATCGATAGTCACCCAGCCTCGAGGGTTCTCCCGTTCCTCTATCTTGGAAACGGCAGGGACGCGGCCGATCTGCAGCTTCTTCGCGCATTGGGCGCCACCAGGGTCCTCAACGTCACTTCGCAGCTGCCCGGATACCACGAGGAGAGGGGCATCACGTACAGGCAGATCCCTGCCACGGATTCTGGCCATCAGAACCTTAAACAGTACTTCGAGGAGGCATTCGACTTCATCGGTGAGCGACACGACAGGGTTTATACAGTAGATTTACGTCTACTCGTGAACTAGGGTCATCGTCATCGTCGCGGGTGCAGGAATAAAGAGACTCTGAGATAATTCCGAGAACGCTTTCGAATCGAAGGACAAGTAGTATCAGTGATCCAATCGATAAAGTCTAAACAAGTTTGATTTTCACCGACGATTGAAATTTGCTAGCCGCTCGGACGTTCCTCTCGGGTTCACCACGTTTTATTCGAATGAGAATGAGAGAAAAAGTCGATTCAGTTGCGCGATCAATGAAAACGAGCTTTTCTATTCATTAAACAACACCCGGAGCGCCATTCGAATAGGTGACGCACAAGTAGTTCGCAGCCGCGTGTTGACATTGGACGAACGAACTCTCGTGTCGGCTCCATTGACGCTCTCGAGAACCTGTTGCGTGTGATTCAACGAAATATACGAGGATCACCGGTTAGAGTAAATTGGACTAATTGCATTGACGGTGCAATATGTCGGCTCGTTAGGCCGCGACATTCGAGGAGGCTGCTGCGTTTAATTCACCGTGAGAGTTGAGCCGGGGGAGGATGAGGAGGAGAGCGTTGACAAAGAGAGATGTTGGCCTCTGTCGATGAGTAATTCTTTCGGTTGACTGGGTGTGCTCCCGGACAATGATAGTCATTGACGTTTGCATCCACGCCGATCCAGTCTGGATCTAGCGTTTGATCCAGTTTTGTTATTTAGATAGCTCCAATGAGTATAATTTAGAGAAAAAAGGGAAACGACAATATTTACACATTAGCAGATTCTTCAGAAAGATTTAACAGACTTAAAAGAATGAAAGACATACAAAAAGTCTCAGCCTCTGTGGCTGAAAAGCTTGGGAAAAAAATTGAACGATAAAGCAGTAGTCTTGCCTGAATCGTGCCAAACAAGATGGATGAACTTCCTAACGGTCCAAATATCCGGCGTTCTTTATTTCTCGTCATGAGAACCAAGGACTGTGGATCCTTTGTTAAGGGGAGGGACCCGGTTAAACTACTCACCTAACCTGATTGCTTATTTCGAGTCGTAGAACCAGTCCGGCCAGAGGAAATATTACATAACGCCTCGTAACCCCTAATCAAACGACTAAGGAATAAATTAAGGTTACAGTCGCAGTAACGTAATTAGAACGCGCAAGAGATCATAAAATTGAGCATTGTCCCGATCGCTCCCTGCAATTACACGCCCCATTCGCTCTATGTGCTCATTTCAAATTTCATACGACCAAACGTCCGTTTCAAGCTCCCAACCTCATTTTATTTCCTTCCTCGGCGTTATACGCCACGTCGATTAAAAGTTCCAAATGGATCGTGAGAAAGGGTGAGAAAGCAGCCACGGATTTGTGTTTGTCCTCCATCGTCGAGGAGGTGGCTTTAACGGTCAATGCACCAACGTGCCCTTCATTTCACGCAACAGTCTCCACGGTTCTACGGTGTTGGTCGGTTGGCCAGGTACAGCATTCCACCAGTTGCACATTCGGTAGGACCCTCCTTGCGAACGTTGACGCGCGCGCGTGCACACACGCGTGTGTGATCGATGAGCGTCGTCTCGCGTTACACACACACGCACACACACACACACACACACACAGCGTGGAGTAGAATGCGGTGCAATAAACACAGAGGAGAGACGTCGACACTGGGGCACCATGAAAGGGGATTCACGGGTGTGCATTCGTTGGTGCGCTTGCACGCGCGCGCCAGTGACTCATGGTTTCATGAATGGAAACCTTTCGTCTTCTAGTCCTCGCACACGGTGAATGGTCCACCGGAAACGGCTGGTTACACCCTGTTTCCGTTACACCAAACTGCGCCGCGCTGGTGAGGGAAAAACGAGCGTGCCACGGTGACGAGTTCCGTTGGGAATTTTGCATTCGCAGCTTTGCATTCGTCAACTGCGTTCCCCGAGTTCCTACGAGTTTCTGGCTATTTGTATTTAATAAAGATCGTTTAATTCTTTGAGTTATAATAGAAATTAAGCAAACTCGTATCCTACGAGATACGAGTTTTAATTTGCCAAAATTGAACGTATTAATAAATACAAAATGCTTTCAACGCTTCGCATCTGATACCGTAATCAATATTTACCGAAGATTGAAGAGAAAAATCGTAAGGCAAGAGGTTAAACACGTCCAATGATACAATTAGTTCATTATTCAAAATGAGTTCTTTGGCGATGAGTTCTGGCCCGTCCAAGTGAAAATAATTCACAATAACGATAAATTGCTAATAATAACGATACGGCAAAGATTAAATTTGTTAAATGAAATAGCGTTCAAGTGGCACAATTTGTGGAACGTGATATCTTCGTTAATTTTAGCCGGGAGCGTTTCAGGGGCGAAGAACGCCGGATTTCCCGGAACCTGGTATCATTTTTGACATCGCGACAGGTGTCACGCTTCTCCCGTCAGTATGTACACACGCACCTTCTGTTACCAAAATATGGTTCCCTCCTACTCTTCTCTCCTCTCCGTTCCGTGACTAATTTCCGCACCCTTCTTCTCCCTTCAAAACGTCTTCCAACGGTCTCGAAACTCTTTCGTTTCTTTCTTCGAGATCGCCACGGCCACTAATCGTCTTTCTGTTTATCCCCCCCCCATCCCTCCTCGTTTTCTCTCCCTTTTATCTCTAACTCTCCCTTCTCGCAATCCCCCACTCGACCTCACCAGCGATTTTCTCCCGCTTTCTCCCGTCTCTCTGTCCGGCTATTCGTCACCCGTGACTCATAGCAGATGCCAGCTCGTGACTCTGCACGCTGCAGGCGCGCACGAACACGCGCCCGTAAACGTTTTAGGGGCCGATGCACCCCCGTGTCTCCATTAACGCTTACCTAAACTACTTCTATCACACGATGAATACCCCGACGCGTACACAGATCAGATTAGTCGCGCTGCTTGTCGCCGTTTAGCGGTCTAGATTAGCGACTAATCGACGCCACCGAGAACGTGTTCTTTGGATTCACGTGTGGAATGATGTTTAATCGCGTCGCTTGTCTTTGGTAATTCATTCTATTCAATCGTCGATGGAGAGTTCTATCTTTCGCGACTGTCTCTTTGCCTGTGAGAATGATTACAATTTGACTTGAAAGTTGTCGTTTTTCAAGATTGAATGTGTTCAACGTAGAATATCTATTTTACTTGTTTCAGCATTCTGTTTGGAATGTCAGTATTCTCTGTTCGCGTCGTTAGAAATCGAACGGACGGATATTTAGAGTACAATGATCCTTTATTTTACGTTTGCTAGAATCGGTCTGAAAAGTTTCATTCTCCTCCGCGTGGCCTTTTTAACCACTTGCTCTGGCAACTGATTGCGGACCGTAACGAGTGACCGAATATTGTATCGTATACAATAATTCGTCGCTTTCTTTTCGAATTCGTCGGTATGATATCACTATAGATAGAGATTATTGCGAAATAATAAATTTATTATTTATTTTGCCCATTTTGTTTCACTTGTATACTTAATATACTTAAATGTACTAAACTAAGTAACCTAGTAAACTAACTAAACATACTTAAATATACTAAACTAAGTAAATATACTTGAAACCGAGTATAAAGTATTTAAAACTAAATATACTTAAAACTGAACAAATATTACAATTCTGGAACAAAAAGTTAACTCTAGAGTTACTCGAGCTACTCCACTCTCGATGGACTTAACATCTTCACGTTTCGAAGCTTCCAAAAAAAGCTTCCTCCCTCCTCTTTCAGGATGAGAAAGATTGTTCCTTCGAGCCATCTGTAAACGTCGCGAAATCCTCGTGCATGCGCACGTGTACCCTCGTGCTCTCTTTCCTTTCCTACGACCGATCACAGTCACGTCGAGTATGTAGCAAGTACGTCGCATAAGATACGGGCGCGCGTCGCCATGACTCATTGGCGATACGATAGCGTCCCTCCTCCCTCTCCACATTACGTAACCGAATCGCCTGTTTGGGTTATACGGCTGGTTTTGTTCCGATGTTTTACAACGACACCGAGCACCGGCCTCAGTCGGTTGACAGTAAGTTGCACGGCCACGGATGATCCACCGTCTGTCTTACGCTCGTAAATCGTAAATCTAGAAATCACGAGCCTCCGTTTCTCTTTCTCGATCTTCTTAGTCTGGGAATACTCTGTTCTCGAATATTGCCGCTTCATCTTCCGTTTCGCTAGTTGAGCGTGTAATTCGTTGAGTTCAGTGATGGGTCGTAGGTCGTGTTGAAAAAGAAAGAACAGATGATGACGTAGGACGTCTCGGGAAAGGGACAACAACGCTGCATTCGAACATTTAAATAATTCAATTTCATTGATCATAGTTGCCTCAGGGGAGCACTTAAGACTAACCGTAGCTTTGTGTTTTTGCCTTGCAGAGGAAGCCCGGAAGGCCGGAAGCAGCGTGTTAGTGCACTGTCAGGCAGGAGTGTCGCGCAGCGCGACGATCGCGATCGCGTACATAATGCGGCACAAGGGCCTGTCCATGGTGGAGGCGTACAAACTTGTGAAGAACGCCCGACCAATCATCAGCCCGAACCTGAACTTCATGGGGCAATTGTTGGAGCTCGAACAGGGTTTGAGGGCGTCCGGCGGTGTGGCTGCCGCCCCGGAGGAACCGAAGGGTTGCCACCAGTGTCGTTGGTCTCATCAGCAGAACAACGAGGAGGTAACTTCCGGTTGCAGCGTCTGAGCCGAGCGAGATCGCCAAGCAACAATCGCGAGCGATGATTATTTCGCTCGTGTCACTGGATCGACGAAAACAGAAAATAGAAGAAAGAGAGAGAGAGAGAGAGAGAGAGAGAGAGAGAGAGAGAGAGAGAGAAAGAGCCCACGCTCGACGTTTCGCGTCGCAAGGACGAAGGTCGAAAGACACACTCTACACATATCCTACACGTATATATCCGTTGAAACAAACCGAAGTCGTCGTTCTTCCTGTTTCACGTGCGAAGAACTTGGATACCATTAACTTGTTACACGTGCCTTGGCGAGATCGGCCCTAGAAACGGGAAAAGGCTGATTTACAGAGAGACACTTTATTTCTATTATCGAGTAACTTATTCAGTGAAAAAAAAAAAAAAAAGAAAAAAAAAGGATGAGGACGTTCTAGAAGAGGGAGGAGATGCGAGAGAACGCGTGGTTGACTTTCGAACGGCGAAGGAAGAGACGACGCGAAAGGTGTGAAAAGTAAAACTTGCGCGCGTCGTCCTCCATTTTGGTACCGGAGGACCAAGCACGATGGCGCACCGAGTTTCTTCCCCCGTGTTGTTCGTCAACAACGCGTTGAACTCCCTCGTATAATTATTTATATCCGTTGAAAAAGAAGGATGGAAGAGTCGAGGGACGTTCGTGGCGGCGTTCGTTAACGGAAGCTTCGTGCAATCGTCGCGAGGAAAGAGACGGTGTACTTACGCGACAGTGTTCCGTAGTTTTTTTTATTGGTACAAAGTATATATACGTGGTTGAGAGGCCTCGTTGGTCAGAGGATGTCGTCGCGATTATTTTCTTTTCTTTCTTCCTTTTTTCTTTTTCTTCTCTTTCCCTTGGGCAGTCGATTGCAGTAGCGAGAGTATGTATAATATTTGATTTGAACGCGATGATACACAGTGTTACACTTTTCTTGGAAATATCTACGCGTTTGTATAATTTATAAAATCGATTTTATCTTTTCGTCCCTTCTAAATGTATCTCGTTTGTTTTGTTCTCTTTCTTCTTTTCTTCTTCTTTTTTTCTTTTTTAAATGTGAATTGTCCTCGTTTAATTTAATTTTTGGCCGCGGTCCTTCACTTTTCAAATGTGTTCGAAGAATAATCATTTCGTATTTAAGGACGTCGCTTCAGTGACACTGTTACGCACGAGGAAGCATCGAACCGGAAGCGTACGATCGAGCGATTGCGCCCAAAGTACATCTTGTGGTATTATCACTTTGCCATGGAAATGCCGCGCGCGCGTAAAATGAAAAAAGGTGGGATGAATGTACGTCAATTGCGATCAATAATAACTATGTTTGCGTTTCTTTTTTTTTTTTTTTTTTTTCTTTTTTGCCTTTTGCCTATTTGTATCACTGTATTCGTCATATTACTTTATTCGATAGCGAAGTGATTTATATTTGATAAAATAATATATCGTTAACCGGAATTAGCTTAACCACTGAGCTCCGTAGCATTTAAGGATCTGGTTGAGATCCAACCATCGTGATCTAGTCGTTTGTTGGAATGTATAATTTGATGATGATGATATGTAATGTACGAAAGAGAGAGCGAGAGAAAGTTCAAATAATTCCCCCGCCCCCCTCCCATCCCCAGCCCCGCCAACTAAAATTAGATTAATGTTAAGAATGTCGTCGACAACTCGAGGGACAAGGCGTAAACGCGATTTCAGAAACGTAATCAAGATGCCAAAACACGGACTTTTAGTTCGGATTCGACGAGTTTTCAGGCTCATGTTCTATGTAATAACCAAAATTGCTACGTTTTCTCGACTTTGTACATAAGAAATAAATGTTGACGCACGAGGTGCGAATCGATGATACCTTGGATACCGTTCTGCTCGTATAAATAAACGATAATAAATTCAAGTAACTCGCAACATCACCCCGAAAATGCTTCTGTCGGGCTTTCGTTGGAACGTTTCGCCGATAACGTAAAAACAATCGACGAAAATTGAACTCGACTCGACGTCGTGCAAAACTTGAACTTTCATCTTTTTTTTTTCGATCGAACGGGTTCATCGTATTTGAAGATTGTTTGATATCGACGTGTGTGCAGTCTTTGGACGAAGAGAGGTATTGCAAGAAAGGAAATGCTTTCATTCGAAACACTTCCGTCATTTTAATCGTTCCTTCTTGGGAACCGGCAAGTACAAGATATCGATCGTCCAGCGCAGATGAAAAACGGGGGAAAAAAATAAGAAGAGAGAATCGTGTGCGCAGTTCGTTTCAATCGTCGAGATACCTCGAGCAACGGCCTAAACAGGACGTTGATTTAAAAAGGGGGGAGGGGGGGGGGAAGTACACCGTGAAACATGTGCGAAAAAGTAACTGTACGACGCGACAATCGCCGCGGTTAAATCAAACCGAGCAGCTGTTCAAAAGAGGAAGAAAAAAAAAAAGTCGCTTAAACCGATATATGCCTTTCTACTAGTTAGAGAGACTCAAACTGTTGACAATAAAAGCTTGACAAGAGAAAGAGAGACCTGCTGTGCGTGAAAAGGGAAAATATATAGGTTCGCGTCATATATGTTTATATATATATATATATGTTCACGTTATATATAAATATATATATATATTATATACATGTGGATGTGCGTGTGTGTATGTGTGCGTGTGTGTGTGAGTGTGTGTATAGCATAACGAGGCAGAGCAAGTTCCTTCAGATTCTCTAATTCTCTCGAAGAAACATATCAAAGAAACGTCGCCTTTCATTCTTTCCTGTTTCTTCTTTCCGTTTTCCGTTTTCCGTCGCAAGCAAGAGCGAAATGTCACGCTCGAAGGGAACAATTTCTGTTCACATCTCCTGTAACAGAATTGGGCGCCGTCTTAGGCTTCGCGTAGAGGCCATGTAAAAAAAAGTGTTAGCGAGATAGTATTGTAAATATTCACCGATCAAAGACACAAAGGCGATCGCGAAGGAATCCGCGCGTAGTTGAGGCAGAGAAAGGGAGAGAGACCGATCGGCGTCGTGTAATGAAACAAACAAAAAAAAAAAAAAAAAAAAAAAAGAACGCTCTGTTCGATAGGGAGAGAGAGAGAGAGAGAGAGAAGCAGAGAGCTACGAGCGTAGTACCTGTTGCATCACGAGAACGTACGACACGTACGTAGCGTCTACTAGGTTGTTGGAAGAGCCTCAACAATAAAAATGTATGTCGACCTGCGATAAATAAGCCGCTGTTGCCGTGCAGCGATAAAAATAGTGCTCGGTGCAATCTTGTATACTGGAACTGGTAAAGGCAGACCCGTAGGATTGTTAGACGTCCTTGTCGCATTACCATTCTGTCGCAATTAAGATAACCTGGAAGATAAAGCTTATTGCTAACGTCACGCGGTCGAACAAGTTCCTAACTGAAAGACCATCTTGCCTGCCGCTACGTATTTTGAACCTTGCTTGTTTAGCCAGTTCTGCTCTTCACGCGAGATCTGAAACCCTTCACCGGGTTATGATTTTTTCTTATCGTGGATCGATGTATTCTTTTATTGCCAACGTTTTTCTGCATCGGTATGCACGCATCAGGATTGCGTACACACACTTCTCTTGGGATGGTTAGTAGATGCTGCACCGAGTTAATCAATCGTTTTTTTTTGTTTTTTTTTTCTTTTTTTTTTTTTGCGGAAGCGTCGCCGTACGATCGGATGCCTTTTTTTTTCGTTTTTTCAATGTACAGTTACATATAACGTGAAATAATTGTGCATACGCGAGGACAACTATTGTATCATATCAAAATTTAGTTATTTTATGAATAAAAGTATAAACCCGCACGCTTGCTTGTTACTTGTGTACGTAACACTATCTCGCAGATTGCATCGACAGGAAGAAGGAGGGAAGGAAGATGTTCGTTGTAGTAGACAGACGTAATGTAAAAGATATGATGTATTAAGAAAATGTTTATTTAGACAGAAAATATCGAATTTCGAATACAATAAAGTTTCCAAATTCTCGCGAATGGGAATCGGTTAATCCTCTTAGACCGAGCATTCTTTCCTGCATGCTTTATCCAAGGAATCGAAAATAATACTCGGAATCGCAATTTCCGAAAACAGAAAAATTGAAAAATGACCGCGAAATATGCACACGATAGATCCAATAATCAGACACGTTTTTTTTCTTTTTTTTTTTCTTCCAGCATGTCATTCTTGACGGATAAAAATTGTGCATACGATGAAGTACGTAAATACAAATTCGATCTGTTACTTTCTCTCGATTCTGTTCGCACACATGCACAATGCGCTCGCATTCTCAGTCTCCTGCTTTTTTTTTTCTAAATGTTATATAATATCAGTATACGTTTCGCTGTAAGTAAACATTAGGTTATAACGATATAGCTAGTGATAATAGTAATAGCAATAGTAATTTTTAAGGAGTCAATGCTGAACTTTGTTGCTCCATCTTCATTCTGACGTAACCCCCCTCCCCTTGTTCGTTATGTTTCGTTCTGCCGGTGGCTGGAAATATGCGAAATATCTGTCGTTCGTTTGAATTAAATGCATAGGTAATCGATATGGACTTGCTGTTTTGTGCTGTCCTATTATACGCCCCTTGTGCTACCGTAAACGCCAATGTAAGCGCGCGCGCGAAGCAAAGATTTTTTTCACGGGTAAAAAATGTTGCACGGGACAGACTACGTTACCGATAGATTCATTCGAGTATAAAACAGACAGCGTACAGTTCGAGTTATAATAAACACTACGCAAAGACGATATTCAAATAGTCTCGGGTATTCTCAGGCATAAACTTTCCATTATTTACTTTTGCACATTCCTCAATCCTAACAACAATGACATAACAAATTGGAGCACCTCTTACTCCGTTAAGGTGTCACATCGCGAAAAAAGAAAAGCATATTTGCTCGAATTTATCGTTCAAGATTAGATATCGGCTCTATGCGCGAACGCGCGAAACAATTGCTCGCCCCTTTCCGCTACGAAAGAGGAATTCGCGTGAATGAAACACTATTAATGAAGCGAATAAAAGTACAAGTACATCTGTTCGTACATTTGACGATTCTATTGCTTGTTGCAAGAACGATTATTAGAAATCGAGGGCCGGTTTTATGTTTATACTGCGTAACTTACCCTGATTACTTTGCAGCGTAAATAATTAATAGATAATAATCGTTTCTCTCTTTTTTTTTTTCTTTTTTGAAATCGCATCGCTATCCTCACAGCTATTATTAACAAGTAAATTCACAATTACTTACAAACTATTGGTATATACGTATATATATATATAGCTTTCTCAATCGCTGATGCACGATTTTTCTAAAATCGATTGTTAGGATTGATAGGTCAAACTGTTTCGCGAATAGGAAAGTTAATTACTCGCCAGGGCTGCCATCGCGCGAATTAACGCGGCATTCTCCTCCCGAAGCCGTTCCCTTTCTATGGTCATTTCGTGCTGCTGTTGAAGCAGCCGGGCCTCAAGTGCCATTATCTTGTGATCCCGATCCTCCAGAAGGGACAGCAACCTCCTGTTCTCTTCTTGTGCTCGTTCTATCAACTAAAAGTTTCAAACACAGGGAATTGCGCGAGTTTAACAAATTAATTTGATTTTACTTCTCAAACGAAATAATATTCGAATGAAAAAAAAAAAAGAAAAGAAATACTTCGTGCGGATTATCTCCCGTTGGCGTAGATAGTCTTGGCTGATTGACGGTGTTTACAGAAGTTTGAGGCTCATGATTCCCATGATCTGATTGATTGACACTGTCGGATTGATTCAAGGAATCGAATTCCTCGTCATCTGCTTCCAAGTCGGAGTGGCTAAAATTAAATGGGTAATTTTTGATATATTAGTGAGCGCACGTGGTTACAATAGTATCAGACTGTCTATGATGTTACATTAGGCACGACCCTTAATATCGTAATGTTTGATGAGATTTATAGATTTCTTTTACCCCATATTCGTATTGTTTTCGAGTTCATTATTTGACGCTTTAGTGTAACATGAAATATGATTAGTAATGAGACAAATGAGACATTTACTATTATACGCGACTCTTACTATTATAGATATCGTTGTAATAAAAGATGTACAAAGGACTTACGGTACTCGTTACAATACGCAGGCTCGTATTTAAAAGAATCTACTAGCTCTACCGTACTTCGTACAGGTCGTGCCTAATTGTACATAGTCACGTACAGTAGCACTTACCAACCGTGCCTATTTATACATGACCTGTAGGAAGTACGGTAATGCCTAAAAAGCAGTAGCAGTTTATTACAAATGACTACTAAATTTCACTAAAGCACTATATATTGTTTACTACCGTAAATAAGATATCTCAGTGTTTTATACCTTTTGTTTCGCCTTTGTGTAAACATTTTTGCTGTCCGTTCCTGAAACATGCGTAGTTTGACGTACATATATAGTCCCTCTTGTTACATAGAAAATCAGCTTTTGACCGCGTTCGCAATAAATGATAATATTTTCTTTTTAACAAGTGAAAATCACACGCACTTACTTCTATGAGTTCATGATCTAGGAACTCATTGTGATGTGTGTTGTGTTTAGTTTCAAGACAAGTGCCACTAAGATCTTCTTCATCTTCTCCTGTACTACCTCCTGTACTCTGTAGAATTAAGTGGCTAACGAAATTACATTGCGGAGTAACAACGGACTTGCACATAAAACTTTTACCAATATCCGTTTAACACTCGCGGCTAAATACAATGAACGTTCGAGGAGCGCGGTAAGTGATTTCTAAGTGCAATGCTACTTTTGTCGTACATTCCGTGTGTGTCTAGTATGATTTTCTAAAGAAAGAGATACATATGCGCAAGACATTTCTGACAAAAATTGAAAAACACCAAGTATACGTTCGAAAAACAAATTCTTTGATAGAAATGAACGAAAATACTTGTCTTGGTATGATCGATTGAAAATAATTGGTCAGAGTCCTTCGTAACGAATATAAGTAAAACATCATCTCTAAATCTGTCATGCAAGATACAGAAATGGCTAAAAGACTTGTATCAAATGGATATAGATGCAAGAGAAATCCTTGTTTTAGAATCCGGGATATTGCCGCGAGGAGTCATTAAGATTTTGGGTCCTTAACGTGACTGGAAACAGTGACAAACCTCCGTCGATGGTAAATGTACTACTCCGGTACTTCGTCTTTTTTCTCGAAGCTTCCGCCGATCGCGTTGCTGCTTTCCCTTGTTTATGTGCGTTGGCCTGTGCAAACAGGATACGACACTAAAGACACTAGAACCAGATCCAGAAAGTGTTAACAGGACGCGCGAACTCTATGCTGGATCTACTTAGTTACATTTAGAAGACACTTGCGTTTAACAAATGAAAAAAGAAACTCATCTTTGCGGACACCTTATTTAAACGACGACAGCTTTGTTTACTCACCGGCCAGTCACTCGTTTGTCCTGTTTCCTCATTATTGGCTTGTTCTGCTGATTCTCGTGTTCGGGTGGAAGCACACTGTTCGAACTGGTGTCGCACACACCTTGAGATTCTTCCACGTTCTGTGCACTCTCTGCAAAAAGGGGATGACTGAGTGAAAAGTCCATTCACTCAGGAAAGTAATAAGACGAATGTGTGTTTGTTACTTTGAAAGTTTATGGAAGAAGAATCTCCTGTTCTGGGTGGTACCACTCGTGCCCGTGCGGTTCTGATTCTAGATCTCCTGGACGTTAACTCGAAGTCATTGTCAAAATCCTCCTGGCTGACGGAGCTGGACGCCATGCCGGTTATATCGCTGAAAAATAAACCAACGCGATTGAATCGGATCTGCTGATGATGACGTGCAATTGAAAAACTGTGCAAAGAAAAAAAAAGAAACATTAAAAGTGGGCTCTTACAAAAAATACCTGGACATCTGAACAAAAGAGTAGGTGATGATGTGCGATACCTATGTTGGACCAGCACAAAAGTTGGAGGCCAAAAAGCGAGTGCTTGATTAGGTTTGTCTAAGGGGAAAGTCACAAGGCATGAACCGCTTTTAACTACGAGCAAGTGTGTGCGCAATAAGACGATAACAAAACTTCGATAGAAAACAAAGAGCAATTCTTAAGGTATTAGTCACCTGTCGTAGTGAGTCTTCACCTAGTTCCGCTGCCAATGTCGTGATTCACTACCAACCTACGTGCAATTGACAGCTGTCAACCATTGAAACATCCATAAACACGTACGGTCTATACGATTACATAGTTCAAAGATAGATAAGCATATCGATCGTCCATATGCCTTGCCTAAAGCACAATTTCCAACGCAGCATTTCAATATCACTAGAGCAATGGTCCCAATAACGAAATGTTACTAGATACGAATGATAGACAAGGAGAGCAGGAGTGTGTGACAAGGATAAATATATAGATCGTGTGATAGACAAAGAGAGCGTGCAGGACAGTGACGAAATCAGTACCGCCGTCTCAACGCAACGTGGCGCTAGCGTGTCCACAAAATGATCAAATTTTCATTTGCAAAAAAAAAACTAATTAGGAGTATTAATTTACGTTGATTACGAACTTTTGCAGCTCCAATTTCAGCTTTCGTCCTGTGTTTTTATTTATTCATTTAAACTACGAAACGTATATATAAAGATATATAAACATTTGCAATTTCTGCTCAATAGATCCAAGCACCGATTCGAACAATATTTAATTCTTGAAAAATTGCATTTGAAATTCGAATTAATTCGCGATTCTTTGTAACTGCATCTATTTAATTGGAATACTACAACTACTATTGTTATTTAAATAATATTAGATACTTCAAGAACATTTACTTGAACTTATAATTACAAAAATAATTTTATCTTATACTACCACTATTTTAACAAGAATATTTATTTCAATGTTTTAAATAAATCACTACATAGTTTTCGAATACCGTTTTCTTTTCTTTTTAACGAATTGCTCAAATTCGATACAAGTGTACATCGTGACTCGTGTGATGAATATATAAAACAGCATGATTTAAGATACACTATAATGAGACCCATGCGTGGTCACCTCCACGTGGTGGGTCTTGGTAATTGGTATCGTTTTCCAAATATTAATATCTCGGAGTAAAGTGAATCAAATTTCGATTCCTCCGAATGTTACTATTTGTAAAATGATATCAAGCGAAGAACTATGCAAACTACAAACAAACAATTAGTCAATAAGTAAACTACTAGAACTAAACCATTAGAACTGCGATAGCAACGAGGAACAACATGGTATACCGCGAGATATCATAGTAACATCCTGTGCGACTAAATATCAAGTTGCCTGCCTCAAGTATTAGTCATAAGATAATTCCTCTAACACCAAGTCACCTACACAAGGTAAGATATAATAATTGACACTGTTTCTCAAACAATGAAGTTTGGAAAATGATATCAAGCTAGGAACAAAGCAATCTACAGTCCAATCAATATTGTAGAATTTTTCTAAATTAATTAAATAAACTCGACTGGAGTCCAGCTCTAACAATAATTAGTTGTACAATAATAAAAGAACAATTCATAAAAAATCCGAAATTCCATGAAAGAATACCTGCTACACTCGAAAAATAACCGCAATAGATTTTTCGAAAATCAACTATATCAGGAGAACCAGAGGTCCGAGAAAATGGCCCGACGAAACACCGGAGCCAGCTGTAACCTTGACACAACAAATTCTCTAAAAACTTTTACCGCCAATATCTCGAAAACATGACGGCATTCTGTCCGAAATTTAAGTTTTTATATCAGGAAAACAAGATACTCGAGAAGGTGGCACCGTATAGTCGGCCGTGGAGCCGTTCTCCTGATACACAGGTAAGTCGAAAAATTTTTAAACCGAAACATCATTTAAACGCGAAGGAATCGCTGGGCGAAAATTCGAGTTTTGTATCAGGAGAACATGATATTCGAAAAGGTGACAAGACATAATCGGCCGTTGAGCCGTTCTCCTGATACAGAAGGTAATTCAAAAAAATTATTAAACCAAAATAACTTTTGAACGAGTTGGAATCTCATGGCGAAAATTCGGGGTTAGTATCAGGAGAACATGATGCTCGAAGAGGTGGCATGACATAGTCGGCCGTTGAGCTGTTCTCCTGATACTGACGGAAATCGCAAAATTTTTAAACCTCAATATCTTATAAACGAGTGCGAATTTCTAGGCGAAAATTGGGGATTCTTATCAGGAGAACATGATGCTCAAAGGGATGGCACGACATAGCCGGCCGTTGAGCTGTTCTCCTGATACCGAGGTAATTCGAAAAATATATAAACCGAACTCCTTTTCGAACGAGTAGGAATCCCTTGGCGAAAATTCGGGGTTTGTATCAGGAGAACATGATGCACGAAGAGGTGGCACGACATAGTCGGCGTTGAGTTGTTCTCCTGATACAGACGTAATTCTAAAAATTTTTAAACCGAACTCCCTTTCGAACGAGTAGGAATCTCTTGGCGAAAATTCGGGGTTCGAATCAGGAGAACATGATGCTCGAAGAGCTGGCACGACATAGTCGGCCGTTGAGCTGTTCTCCTGATACAGACGTAATTCGAAAAATATTTAAACCTCAATATCTTTTGAACGAGTAAGAATTTCTCGGCGAAAATTCGGGGTTCGTATCAGGAGAACATGATGCTCGAAGAAGTGGCAAGACATAGTCGGCCGTTGAGCTGTTCTCCTGATACAGAGATAATTCCAAAAATTTTTAAACCGAAATATCTTATGAACAAGTGGGAATTTCTCGGCGAAAATTCGGGGTTCGTATCAGGAGAACATGATGCTCAAAGGGGTGGCACAACATAGCCGGCCGTTGAGCTGTTCTCCTGATGCAGAGGTAATTCAAAAAATATTTACACCTCAATATCTTTTAAACGAGTAAGAATTTCTTGCAGAAGATTCGGGTTTCGTATCAGGAGAACATGATACTCGAAGACGTGGCACGACATAGTCGGCCGTTGAGTTGTTCTCCTGATACAGACGTAATTCTAAAAAATATTTAAACCGAAATCCCTTTCGAACGAGTAGGAATCTCTTGGCGAAAATTCGGGGTTCGAATCAGGAGAACATGATGCTCGAAGAGGTGGCACGACATAGTCGGCCGTTGCGCTGTTCTCCTGATACAGAGGTAATTCAAAAAATTTTAAAACCTCAATAACTTTTGAACGAGTAAGAATTTGTCGGCGAAAATTCGGGGTTCGTATCAGGAGAACATGATGCTCGAAGAGGTGGCACGACATATTCGGCCGTTGAGCTTCTCTCCTCATACTGAGGTAATTCAAAAAATTTTTAAACCGAAAAATCTTATTAACGAGTGGGAATTTCTTGAAGAAAATTGGGGTTTCGTATCAGGAGAACATGATACTCGAAGATGTGGCACGACATAGTCGGCCGTTGAGCTGTTCTCCTGATACAGAGGTAATTCGAAAAATATTTAATCCTCAATATCTTTTGAACGAGTAAGTATTTCTTGGCGAAAATTCGGGTTTCTTCTCAGGAAAACATGATACTCGAAGAGGTGGCACGACATAGTCGGCCGTTGAGGTGTTCTCCTGATACAGAGGTAGTTCAAAAAATATATAAACCTCAATATCTTTTGAACGAGAAACTATTTCGAGGCAAATATTCGGGGTTCGTATCAGGAGACCATGATGCTCGAAGAGGTGGCACGACATAGTCGGCCGTTGAGCTGTTCTGCTGATACAGAGGTAATTCAAAAAATATTTAAACCGAAATATGTTATGAACAAGTGGGAATTTCTTGGAGAAATTTGGGTTTCGCATCAGGAGAACATGATACTCGAAGAGGTGGCACGACATAGTCGGCCATGAGTTGTTCTCCTGATACAGAGAGCACTCAAAAAATTTTTAAACCGAAATATCTTATGAACAAGTGGGAATTTCGTGGAGAATATTCGGGGTTGGTATCAGGAGAACACGATACTCGAAGAGGTGGCACGACATAGACGGCCGTTGAGATTTTCTCCTGATACAGAGGTAACTCAAAAAATATTTAAACCTCAA